TATTAGTGTGGGACAACTCATATTGACGTGTCAACTCAATTGTCCTAATTGTATCAAGAGGTAGGCTTACGTGTGTCCAAACAGACAAGACAATTGTTTCATTGGGCATTCAACGGGAAGTAACTGATACACATCTCAAACAAAAGGTCGAAGAGGTCGCAGAAACGTGTCCAACAAGGATACTTCAAACAGAAGAAGGGGGGCGGGGGGGGGTGCTTCCTACAATAAGGAATGGTGTCTTCAACAAAGCAGCACAATGACATCAGCCATGTGCTGAATATAGATGAAAATAAGGGATACTACTACACTTGCCCTGATTTATACTATTTATTTCTAATGAAATTATGGGTGCCTTTGTTTATCGGCCTCCTTGCTTTGTAATGTCCACCACAGCATCCACCATCAAAGAGATCACATCAAGGCAGTTTTGGGACCAAACTCTGTGTACCAATGACAACACTGTAGTTCACTTTTCAAAGTATTGGAAGAATATAAAAAATTAACAATTATTATAAAGCGAGGAAAAAAGTATTTGAATACAAATTTCCGCATTTCATTGTTCCCCGTGAATAAAACTGGAGGGTTGGGTAAGATACTATTTTCTAATCTTTATTACAAGTCATATGTAAAGAAAATAATTTAAGAAAAAAATGTCCAGTGGTCACAGCTGAAGAAACATTATGTTGACCAATGAATGTCACAAATAACTAATTTCAAGGTGCTCAAACAACTTGTCATCCGATTATATAAAGTAGATACAAGGAAAATTATGTTCATGATAATCAATTTAGTATATGAAAATTTCATCCTTATATTATAGCTAATAAATTTTGCTGGATATAAAGTAATTATATAGCTAAGAAATAACAATGTGCAACAAAGATTGCATTGCTCTAATATCAAAATTCTAACCCTTTTGAAGAAAATTTCAACTAAAAACAATCAGGTATTGCTTAGAAAAAAAAGATTAACACAAATTCAATGCTGCTCTTGTGACTACCAAAACATACCTTGTGGAAGAACACTACTTATCAATCGATTCTGTCCTTGCACACCTAAACCACCAGATCCAGCATTTCCACCTAAATTTATACGAGAAGCAAGGCCAGGAACAGACAATCCTCCAGAGCTTATCCTCCCAATGTTCCCCCCACCAACCATGTTTCCCATCGAACTAGTGATTCGAGGACCTGCATTTCCCAAAATTGGGGATACTCCCAATCCTGGAACAGCATTTCGGTTACCAATTGCAGCAGAAGTTGGAAGAATCCCAGGAATAGGACCAGCAACTCCATTTGTGCTACTATTAAATCCAGGATTTCCTATAACACTTATACCTCCTCTACTGTTGACTCCTGAATGTCCATGGGAGCTTCCATGAGATAGCTGCAACTACAATGCATAGACAAATGAAAACATTCATGTTATACACCAGCACAAAATAAATGACAGACACGAGAGGTAAATCGGCTCAGAACTTCAGGTACTACTCTAAAGATGTTCAAACACAAATGCATTCACCTGTGACAGAGCAACGGGTAAATTATTTGATGCAAATCGTCCACTTGAAAGGCTTGCTGAAGGTTGTTGAACTCCTCCCCCAGTTGGTAAACTATTTAACGTTGAGTTTCTTGATGTAAGTGAACTAGGCATATTGGGTACATTATAGCTCCCATGAATGTTGTGCAATCCCTGAATAGAACCTGCAGCAAGAACCTGACAGTTATATAACTAAAGGAGAGGAGAAAAAGGATTGACTCTAGCAAAATTTTCCCACCAGAGTGATGAAAAACTGGCGAGGCTACACCAGACTGACCAGAAAATGACGTAGCAAAGGAACGTCCAGCAGCACCATCTGGAAGATTTGAAGCAGATCCGTTCAGAGAAGACTGCAAACAGAACTCTGTTAAAATTTACATCGAAGACAGTTCCGTTCCAGAAGTGGAAAACAATTTCTTACACAAAACAATAATAACAATAATAGTATGAGAACTTACAAAAAGTTTTGCTCATTCAAAGTGTGTTCAACATGTATCAGGCATGAAAAATTGAACAAGAGACAGAAATTTTACCTTTTAATAGATGTTCACAGCAGTCAACTATATGCTAACCATACATAAAGTGGCAACTGCCAGTAAATTGCACACACAAAATGGCTAGCACTCATTATAAAAAGTACAAGTATGAATATAATGAGTCCGAGGTTATCAATGGCAGATAGCAGACAATACAGAAGGCCAAAATTCCAACATATAAAAACACCATTGCGGCCTATAACACCATCGTAGTTGGCCTCCCTTCACAAGTTGCCTAAGACAGAGGGGTTGAAAAATGCCAGGCTATTTACAACATTGAATGACTCTACGTGGCTGCCAACATATAGCAAGGATTATATGTTCAGTTTAAGGCAATATAAAGTTGATTTCCAATTAATATATAAACACACAGAGAGTGAGTTTTCCCTATGCCTGGATTCTCTACTCACAGAAACAGAAACATATTTAAATAGTAGCATGTTATTTAGAGATTAGGCTTAAATAACCTTTTAGTCCCCATTATATAGGGCCTTTTACACTTGGTCTTAAAAAATTACCTGCTGTGATTCACACAAAAAATTTGTTCATCTGGATCCCTGTCCTTGTTAAGCGATAACATGACTAACAATTTTTGTTTAATTTTGGTGACAAAACAGGCCCCGTATTTTCTAAATAACAAGAACTAAAAGGAAAATTGTCTAATATATGAGGGACCTATATTAGAAGTTCATAATTATATAAGGACCGAAACAATAGCATCAGGGATTAAAACGAAACAAAAAAATTATCCAGACTACATCAGGAGAAAAAAAGAAAGAAACAAAATGAAAACAAACTTATATTTTAGGGACCAAAGAGTTATTTAAAATCAATTATTTTTTCTTAGCAAAACATTATCATGTTAAGATTTCCAACTTGGATTCAACAAGGAATTCATATATAAGGAACATTAGGATTTTATATTTTATTAAAGGGTGAGCCCTGGCACAGACAATAAAGTTGGGTCTTGATGACCAATAATTATCAATTTGTCCCTTCCTCAAAACTTTAGGTGATAAGAAGCCTTTTGGCATGGGGTACCTTAGTTTGAGTTTTTTTTTATTAGGATTTAAGAAGAATTTTTAATCTTTAGTTACAAATATTTTTGGATTCCTAAATCGTAGTTTATTCATATTTGATATTCCTTTTCGTCATAATAGAGCATCAGAAATCCTAGTCAAGCTCTGGCTTAGATTGATACTCCAAGCTGATTGTTGATGTCTAAGGAGGAATCTAGATGTATTGTTCCACATCACCCCGGTTCTGCTCTAATTAAACAAGTTAATATTTGAAATGAAGCTACTTTGATAATGGGATACATCTCAAACATCCAAATTTTGATTTATCAATCTTAAAAAATGAATTTATATCTAAATCAACCTTACAAAACTAGCTTGCAAATTTGAATTTGCACCAAGTTATATCTACTATAATTTGATCGTATCTCTAGGTACAGTGAGATCTCCAACATAGTCTCTCACCCGAGAATTGAATATCTTGAGCACTAAACTATATATTGTGAGATGGCTCATGGTGACCTAAGGGTGGGTGTCACGATAAGCCCAAAAATTCCTGTTTATGAAAATCTTTTATTTCATCTTAAAAAGTGGAATTAAGCTTAACTCAACATACAAAACTACATATTTAGGCCTATAATTTGACTATATCTCTAGTCAATATGAGATTTTTAGCAATCAAAACGTTCAAGAAAGATTCTAATGACAAAAACATTTCTAATATACACACAAGTGTGAAGCACAATAGTCCTACAACATGCCACGTTTGTTTTTTAACAACATATTTTAGCCTTGAAATCACACTGTAATTGCCTAGACAATTCAAATCACACAATCATGATATCGTGTACCAAAGATCAAGGATTAGAATTGACAAGGAGATTATACTTGATGTAATGAAAACATGCAAGCAAGAACTTCGATATAAAAGTTGATGTCTGAGGAAAAAATCACACACGGCCCATCATATAAGCCATGTATCCAACGAAGATGAATAAAAGACCTCAATTATAATAACTTGGCAATCTATGACAATGCAAACTGAGTAAAGAATGAGATAGACTGTCGAACATAGCCTCTTGCTTTGCAGGACATGAGTAATTACATTAAGTAAGCTCGACATTGCATGGATTTCAGAACGTCAAGCCAAAAGGCATCACTGTGCTGAAAAACACCCGTCCCTTTTTTATTCAGCAACAGATGTGTGAACAATATAAAGTTCCTCTCATAAACCAATGAACAACCTGGGCAGAACAAAATGCGAATAAAACAACATCAGATGCGATATGATTCCGTTAAAAGGACGTATCCAACTATATAACAAAGTAAGCAAAACAGCTCACACAGTGAATTTCATTGTCACATTAAGCCTTAACCCTTAGATTATCATACATAAACATATGTTTATCCCCTTTTTGCAGTCTAAGAATGTGCAGACTCTAGAAGCCAAACATTAAACCAAACTGAAAACGTCGAATATGTAGCACAGACAATAAAATTTACAAGAAGAAAATGTCTTTTAAACAGGTTGCGCAGAAATGACGAACGACATCACGATAAATTAAGAGTGATTAAATACAGCGCTAACTAATACCAAATTCAACAGAATTTCGTGTACTGCTCCCTAGCAATCAACCACAAATTAAAGCATTTCCACATAAATTGATCAACCGTCGAATTTCACAGTTCCCATTCCGTTTAGAATTTGAAGTGAAAATGATAAACCACACTATAAAAGTGCGGAACCACGGAATCAAGTGCCTCCGAGAAACCTAACAAGATTAATCAGTGATGACGACGTTAATTAGTGACGGTGAAGGACGACCGTAGAGAAGGAAACGATGAAGTGGATCGAAGTTTGGAATCAAGAAGCGCAAAGAGAATAATAGGATGAGAAAGTACCCGAAGAACAAAGATGAGCGATAAGGTTGTGATTCAAGGAGCGAGTTTGGGTGCCCTAATCGGAACAATAAAGCGATGCAGAGAGAGAGTTGCAAGTAGAATACAAAAGCTTCCCTCTAATCTAACTAGTTGTTGGCTTGCGTTGGGTTGAGAGACGATAAAGCGTAATAGAGTATCGAGAATAGTTTCACTATCCTACTCTAATCAACGGAACGTGTGAATGTATACATCTAAAATCCAGAAATCATATTACAATTTTGTTAATTTTTAAATAATTATATTGAAAGTTATAATTTGATTAACTTAACTGTTATAGTAAAATTTAATAATAATAATGAATATTATATAGAAATTGTACTCGCTTTATAAGCGTATTTGGTAAATTTATACAAGTATACTATACCTATACTAGATTCGAGATCTCCTTTTTCATTTAAAAAAATATTATATCATATTTTCATTTTACGAAGTTATGTGTCTTTCTAATTAAAATAATAGCTTGTGTGAAACCCTTAATAATTAGCCTAAATTAATCCTGACATCTCACCATTAATGCTTGCCACCTCATTCCCAGCCATTAAAACCCACTCCCTAAACTGGTCCTATCCCTCTCTGACGTGCACGAAGAACCACGCTCATCATTCTCTGAAACACGCATCACGTTACACACTCAGTGCATTAAAACGCACTAAACTCTGCATGCAAGCATGCCACTTGTCACGTTGGAAGTTTCTGAAATCAGAATGGGGGTTGCAGGTGTCCGAAAATGAGACGCTCACTCGTCTGGAATTTGAAGGGACAAAAATGAATTTTCGAAAATCTTTCCACTCACCTGAACCATTCATCTTCTTCCTCAGAAAACCAAACCTCTCATCTTCTCCAACTTCTCTCTTGCACCAGTAAACTTCTCTTTACTGTAAAACTCACACCTCTTCTCCAATCACGAATTCTGCACCATAGAAGTGTTCGTCCAGCTGTGATCTTCATTTTGGACCGAACAGAATTTGAACCCAACCTGGTAAGTCCCCTTACTGTAGTTCGTCCTTAGGTTTCTGGAAAAATAGGGTTTTAGTTGCATGCAAACTTGTATACTGAGTGATCTATAATCTGTGGTTAGAGTTTGTTCTAGAAGAGTCAGGAACCTGAGCAAAACATAGTTGGACGAAGCTATTTTTACATCTAGGACAAGCTTGAAATCCAATCCGGGTAAGGGAAGCTTATATGTTTAATTTATACTGTATGTTGAATGATCTGAGTTGCATGAATGAAGAATATAAGATTTGAGTTGTATGGATGATCACTGTTATTGTGCATGTATGAATTTCATGAAGTTGAGCTGTTATGAATGGTTACTGAGATCTGATATGAATTCTGGTTTTGATTGATCTGTTATGGATGAACACTGACTTTTATGTATGATATATGTTGTTGATCTTGATTAAAAAGCATGTTGAATTGATTATGTATGAATGGAGTATGTTTATGATATATTTGGAAGGATTTGGATATTGAAACTGTATGATAATGATGTTGAAGGTGAATTAAATCTGGAATGAATGTTATAAAGTTGGAAAAATGAAATCTGGAAAATTCTGTTAAGTTTGAGAAATCTGGAATTTTAATCTTCCCTTTTATGAATGACGCTCGTCACTGTACGGTCATATACCGTTCGGTTTTTCATTAAAATAACTTAGTTGGAATTCGTTCATTTGGAATGAATTCTGCTCGAGAACGAGCGTCCCCAATTTAGTGAATGAGCGTTCGTTTCAGCTCAGTTTAGATAAATATTTGAAACTTTATAAATACGTGACGTTCGGCCTCATGTCGAGCGTTCGTCCTTAATGTCGTTCGGCCTTATGTCGAACGAT